TTTTTTAATTCAAAAGGACAAGAAGATCCACTCGAAGTCGATAGAAAGCAACTTCAGAGCCACTTATTCTCATCAACGAGCGGTAGTTTCAATGGTAGACTTCCATCAGCAATTGCTCGTTTGGCAAAATAGCTTAAGACGTGACCTCATAACAATGCTGTTTTATCTGGCAACTGGCAAGTTTGTTAAGCTTTTAATTGAGAATCAAAGGGAGTAAAGTTGTATCGGGGTTTCTATACAATGTCCTGTTAAAGTTATCCGTCTTCGTCACTTCAAAATCGATTAGTTTTCCGAGATTATTTGATGTTTATTGACAATTCTAGACGTATAAATTGTACGAATGTCTCTGTAAATAGCTTAAAAGTTTGCCTTTTCTGCTCGAATTCCCTTAATTTGATTATCAAAGTACAAAGGGAAGGATATTCAAGCAAATCGATGGTTAAGTCGTCAGAATTAGTTTACCAGACAATGCAGTGAACAGATAAAGAAAATAAATCCCATACGATTAATATCAAACAAGAATCGAGAATAAAATGTAAATTTTCTACATTTTTCTATCGATTCCCATCGAGAATTTCGTAATTAGTTTTCATGATTTTGATAAATTTATAAGGCGCATTAAATTTTCTATACTTGTAACGCTGTGTTGAACGTATACGTAAATTGAGAGTAATTTGCAATTACCATGTTGGTAATCAATGCTACAACTTTGATTATAATAATGCTATTCTCTTTCATTGCCCTTCTGCAACATCTGCCATTTTCTGGTAACGATTGCCTCTTCGTTACGTTTCTAGATTTAAATTGTTTAAGCACCTTTAAATCGGGGTCTTTGTATGTAAATACATAGAAAACTTTCCTTTTTAAAATGAATTTTAAATGTCTATGACGTTTAAAGAATCCTCAGGAGCATCCTTCTTTTGTGCGTGGTTCCTCTATACTGATTCCTCCTTAAAATCTTCAAACATAAGGAGTTTGAAGATTTTAAATTGTTGACTCATCTAAATTGTGTTATCTACACACAAAAATGAGGAAAAATACTTTCTGAAATATATTTTGAATATCTGCGAAGTTTAAAGCATCTTCTGGAGCACCTTTCTAATTAAGATCAGCATGGAGGAATCCAGAACAAAAGAAGAATCTTCCTTTGTTTTGTATTCCTTAATTCGTTTTAAATCACTGAAGCACATCTAAATCATGATCTTTGTGTGTAAATATAAAGAAAATACCCCTTTTAAAATACCTATTAAATTTGTCAAAGCTTCAATAGCTTCTGGAACATTCAGAACCGGATTTAGACTTGTGACCATGCGCTGCAATAGACAAGAGGCCATTCCTTCTTCAGTAGATGATGTGTAATATGTATAACTGTCTTTAGAAATAGGAAGCTCTTCGTAACGTGGGGCACATTAAATATAAATCCGGCTCTAATGGTTCCTCTAACGGTTACTCTTCGTTATGTTTGAAGACTTGAAGAGTATCTTAAACACGATTTTTATATACAGAAATGAGGAAAATATCTTTATTTTTTTAGCTTTTAAGTATAAAGAAAAAGGAATATTCAGGAAAGTAAGATATAAACTAATAGATCTAATAGTGTCTTCATGGTGTAGGGAATTTTTTTGTAATGTTTTTCGTAATTCGTATGATTTTTTATTAAATTGTTCTTCATTAAAAATTCTAAATTTACTAGTTTTTTTGTGTGTATGTGTGTGTTTTTCAAGTAGAAGAACACACACTCTTAAGCATTACCCACTTCTACATCATCTTGATGTGTTTTCAATGGATGGGATCGAGTTAAAAATGCTTGTTTTTGTAATTAAACGATGTTTTTTCTAATGTACATCGATACTTTTTATTAAAATTCTTTTTTCCCCTGATTTTACAGGCAATTTTACTAAATTTCTATTGATTTATTGTTACTTTTTTTTAAATTGCTTAATTCTCTCGCTTATTTTTTAAAATTAAACCCACTGTTGTACCACGTGTTATTCTCCAGACATTCGCTTTCTTCCCTGTTTTTATGAGAATTAATTTAGTTTAAAATCAAATTTTTGACGAGGAAGTTTTAATTCTAATTAAATTTATAATTTTTNGAGAAGCAATGAAGATGAGAGAGAAAGAAGAGAATAAAAAGTGATGAGAATAAAAGTAAGACAGAAAAGAAGAGAATGAAAGTGATAAAGTTGAGAAAGATGAGAGTAAAAGAACAGAAGTTACGAAGATTAAAAAAGAAGAGGATACAGTGATAAAAATGAGGTAGATCAGTGATGAAGATGAGAGAGGAAGGTGATGAAGATATAAAAGAAGGAAATTAAAGTGATAAGGATGAAATGATGAAGATGTGAGAGAGGAAGAAGGGAAGTAACGAAGATGAAAAAAAAGGAAAATAAAGTGATAAAAATGAAAAATATTAGATTTTTTAGTTAAAAATACGTAAAATCGATAATTTTCTGTGTTTGATGATCATTTTTATAAGATTATCAGATCTATAAATTCTTATTGAGAAGTTTAATCGGATTTTCCAGGATTTTCTCAAATCCATTAAGTACTTCCTCTTTTTATTTCTTTTTGTAACGATCAGTTTTTGGTAAATTTTATGATGTAAGGTATTTGATAGAAATTACGTCAAATCATACACACGTACATCTAAAAACTATTATAAAAATGGGACGAGTTTTATTATTAAAACTTCGATCTTTCGAAGCCAAATTAGAGAGGCTAAATATAGTTTCGTTACTGGAAAATGGGCTATTTGGTAAAACATTCCATCGTTTAAACTTCTGTAAATTGCTTTCTGTTCTGTAAAAAAAAATATATATATATATATAAAACAGAAGGCATTTTTGCAGAAAACTCCTCGACTTGGTATAGACATCATGCTCCATTTCCGTCTTCTTTAGCAACACTTTTGAGATGTGACTCGAATGCTGATCCTCATCCCAATCAAAGATCAACGATCAACTGTCACTGGATGTTCTTAACATTTTCTTTTTTTCCCTCTGCTACTTTTACGTCAAACTGTTACAAATATCCGTGAAATGAATGCGATTTTAGTAAGTGAACGTGTTTAGAAAGCTTACAGTTCAATAATATTTACAACTTTCTTGTTTACTGATTGCGAAAGAGCATCATCATCCACATCAGTTTACAAATTACAAAAGGGCATCATCATCATCATCATCTTAGAAGCAACACCATATTAAAGTAGCATCATCACCAACCTAGAGAGATGTCTTCCAGTTATTTTATTTTATATATCATCAATTAATTAACGTTTAAAGATAGGAAAATATCTTTAAAAAATAAATAATTTGATCGAAGAGTTTACTTACATTATACAAAATAATGCAAAGTTTGTTGAGTGGAGTGTGTTTTTATACGTAAAAATACTGCATTTATCCATTTATTTGTGGAGTGAATGCGTGACAAGAATAAAATACCCTTTTTTTTTTTTTATTCTATTTGTTGTTTAACTCGAAACAAAACTTTTAACTTCTTAAATGTCAATTTTTCAAATAATGTTTTGGGAATAAAACTATCAAGTTGTGATAAATGTTCGATTCGTGAATGCATTACTCTTTCGTCACGCCAATCCACCCTCTCCCCCCTCCTTACGTCTAAGTATAAAATATTCAAAAAAATACATTGGGCACGAAGAATTTCGAATAATTCTGAGGATGAATAATACATGTTCTATGTCACGTATATCCATAAATATTCAGTAACAATACAGGGTGGCTCAAAAGTCAGTTAACCATTGTAAAGATTACATCTCCGTTTTATTTTGTAAACAATTGGAAACGCCTTGTTCTAAACACAGTTTACAATTGAAACACGCTAAACACGGTTAAACTACATTTAAATATCTTTAATTATCATGCAGAGGGTAGACCAAAATTCAGTTAACCATCGAAAAGATCAAATTTCAATGTGTATTTAAAGAAAAACATGCTCTAAACATAATTCCAAAACACGGTTGACTGACTTTTAGGCCACCCTAAGCGCTAATTTTTCCATTACTCGACAAGTGTACCCGAGACAGAAGAGAGGAGAAATTAAATCGACTTTTGGGCCATCTTTGGCGCGTAGATTTCCATTTAAATGCGTAAATTTCCTCTTCCTTTCGAGCAGAATTTGCATTTAGTTAATATCCTGAAATTCTTATAAAACTGTTTAAAGGAAATTAGGAAAGGATACCCTAGGAGGTTTACATAATTTTAAAGGAAGGATATTTGTAAAGTAATACAACAACATAAGTTTCGAGATCAATTAGAAAATGCAACGTAGCGTAACCGTAGACCTTCCAGTCATTGGAGTGAGAGGAGTTGTAAGCAATGCTTTGGTGTTCATTCATCATTTTAATTGAAAATCTAACTAAAGGAGATTTTGGCATGATATTGTCTATCCAAACAATTAATTTATTACAGAAACTAAAATGCCAAACGACTTCAAACATTCTTCTTTAAATAGAAAAAAATCCTTCCCTCTTCTTCCTCTCCTCCTCCTCTTCCTTCTCCTTTCCAAAAAAAAAAAAAAANAAAAGAATTAATGTACGGTTACAATCAAAATAAAGTAATATCGTGCCATCCTCCTGCACTAATTCCGAAAATCCCGATAGCTAAAAATTATTACGAGTAATTTAAAGGGCGATATTTTTTCACTATAATGTTTGTCGGCCTCGGTAATTAAATCAAAATATTTCACTCCACTCGAGGGAGGAGAGGATAATAAAGTATATCGTTGCCATAGCAACGTGGAAAATCCATTTTGGTGCGGAATGAATCATCAACTCCGCATTTAAACGAATTTATTTATAAATCGGAATCTCGTTAAATAAATAAATTTATATATTTTTTAAAGCATATTAATAAAAATTCCGTTTTAATTTGCGTTTACGGGTTTAAAAAAAAAACCATTACAGCTGTCTTTATGGTCAAACGGTCTCTAGGAGATTTACACAGTCGCTACCCGCCAAGGTCCTTGTACACGAATCGCCCAATGAGAGCGCGCCTTTGATGTCACGTGATGAGCCGGACCCAATCGCCGTTCGTAATTTCAAACACTCGTCCTCTCTTTGTCCTAGGGGTCAGAAGCGTACAAACAACGTATTTTGATCAAAAATTTAAAAATAATCGTTGGAAATTTTAAATGTTAGTAGCTTAAAAAGGCGAGAAATTCATGTAAGTAGATTAATATATATATTTGATAAGGTGTAACGTCCGATGGAGGTAGACGCTTGTCAAGTACGTTGACAGGAGTACGTTTGGCGTTGCCGTCGTCGACATCGAAAGTGTTTTTCTGCTCGTTTGCGAGTAACGTGCGTCGAAATGACTGTCACTCGGTTTACGTTAACATCAACGTCATCATCGTCGTCATCATCATTCGTGACATACTTCCTGTAATAGAGCAGCATCCCCGAACACGTGGATCTTCACGATGGATTTATACGAAGACACCTTCAAGTTGCAGGACATGATCGATTCCGACATACGCACCGAGCTGGATTTTCCGTCGGATATAGCAGATATATCGGACCTGCCCATACTGACTGCCCTGACGCCGGCCGAGCCCCTGGATAACTGTTCGGAGGGCGAAAACTGGTCGCAGAACTCCCACCTGTACGGCATCGACGTGGACGCGGGAGGCGGCATCCTGGTCAATCCCCAGACCGGGGTGCCCATAGGTTTGATCCAGCCCCAGAGCACCTCGGCGCCGACGTCCGCGGTCACCCTGTCCGTGGTGTCCGCGCAGCCCATCTCGTCCTCGCCGACCTTGGTCATGGCCCAGCCCGCCACGGTGCAGATAACGCACATAGTGACGCCGCCGAACGTGTCCGAGGGATTCGTCCGGCGGGTCGACCGGCAGCGGCTCAACATAACCGTGCCCGTGCCCGCTCCCTCCTCCGGTGCCGACGACGCCGATCCCTGCGTCACCGGTCTGCCTCGGGTCGTCATTCGTAATCAGAAGACCGACGGTAACGTTGCTAGTCTCAAGGCCAAGCAGAAGGGAAAGGGGTCCAACAACAATAACAAGGACGGTTTGGGAAGGAACGAAGGCCAGATGTTTCCAGACAAGTTCTATCCCAAGCCCGCCTATTCTTACAGTTGCCTCATAGCCATGGCCCTCAAGAACAGTCAGACGGGAAGTCTGCCCGTCAACGAGATATATAACTTTATGATGTAAGTATATTTTTCATGGTTTATGTTGCATGTTTTCTCGTATATATTACATCTATACAATGATACGTTTATTGGGAATTGCATAATTTCTTAACGATAAAATTGAATTATTTACAATTTTATGTTACATGGACTATATACAGTCAAAATTAATTTTTAAATGGTTAAATTAACTTACTGAGTGACCAAAAATATAAATTATTTTGGTATTAATGGCAGAAATTGTACAAGTAAATTCAGTTGCTAGCAAAAATCCTAATGATCTGATAGACATAAGGAATTTGCAGATTGCTAAGCGTCCTTTTGACGATGTCGAACTGTATAATTTCTTTCTCGGCATCACATGTCATCCACTCTGCTTCATTTCATCAATGATGCTAACTGATCGTCAATAAAATGAGACCATAATCAAGGCACGAATTGACGGATGTTTGTGTCTTGAAAATATTAAGAATTTGATCTGTTTTCTTATATATTTTTGATTATAAATAATAATAATGTCATTCTTTAAGTAAGTATTTTATATCTGAAGTTGCAAAAATGTTTATTATTATTATTATCATCATTGTTGTTAACGTATACTGTTGACCTTGATATAACAGGAAGAAGTGATGGTTCGGTAACATCAGTTGTCCATTGAATCCGAAGATGTCAGATGTTGCAGTCAACTATAAAACAAACTGCATTTACGTGGGCTATGGTAAGACAGAGAAACACGCTTTAATGTGGTAAATGGGAGGAAAACAAACACCACATTCCCAATCAGGAATGTAAACAATAACTGTCAATGCACCGCTTATCACGTGTAACTGTCAATGGACATTATGCACACTACAGCATTCAGAGTTTGATGGTGAATGCTATTTCCACTCTTCACACCTCACAGATTAGATCTATTATTTCCAAAACTTGTTACGTAAGGGTCCACATCAAAGGTCAACAATATATTGAATATACAAACATTAATGAAGCTAAATTACGTTTGGATTAGAAAAACTATATAAAATTTATTATTATTTTATTTTATAGAGAGAATTTCCCATATTTTAAAACTGCTCCAACAGGATGGAAGGTAAGCTTTTAATTTTATTTTTTAATTATTTACATTAAACACATCATAAGATTACTGTTGTTATCAATTAGATTATGTACTAAAAGTACTTTTGAGGGATGTTTTCTGCATATTTACTTATTAACTTGTAAGACATATTTATATGAATAAAAATTGATAAAAGCATCATAAAACATGAATATATTCTTATATAAACATGTTAAGCATGTATAAGTATATTCTTATATGCTTAATAAGGGTTGTATTACATTACCCCTGCTTGATACTTACCGTACGGAACATTAAACATATACTCAGAAAGCTGCCTCGCAGGCTAATAAAACATATTTATATAGAGTAGATTGTCGTTCACTTATATCAATAATACTAAAAATATTATAAATTAAAATTAGTTATACAAAGCAACTTTGAAGACCGACACATCGTAATAATTGTGATAAATATCAAATAGAAGTAATTTGCTGCATTTTTGGATCTATGAATTGATAACGATATTAGTTTTCGTGAAATTATTTTTGATATTTGCATTAAAGAAAATAAAATGTGACTTTCTAACTGAAAAAAGCAATGTTACTTGGCTTTAAAAAATTTAAAAGTTAGAATACATCATTAATTTTAAGTTTTATTTCTTTTTATCATTATATTCTGAATCTGCAATTTCTAAATAAAAAAATAGGAAATCTTCTTGGAAAAATTATATAAGATTATTCCCTAATTATATTGCAAAATTCTACATTATTCAGAGAGAATATTTACTTAAAAAGAAATCTTTTCGTAAATAATATTTAAAAATTTAATATTTTTTATCTTCAAGATTTTTTTGTTTAAATAATTAAAAATACAATTTTATTTTTCTCCAATTTACTAAAAAGAAGTATCTGCATTAAGACATAATAATTTTAAATTAAGGAAAACAAACAACTCATTTATTTTGTAGACTTCTTGTTTATTTATTAGAAACACTCCTGAATATTTAAAGAATTTTTTTATTGACACTTCTTAGAGCAGTAGTTTTCAATCTTAAGTCGGTGTCCTAAAAGACTTCGGTATGCTTGCATGCGACACACCCGATACCCAATAATTTATTTAAACTTTAAATAAATTATTGGGTATCGGAAAATTTTGCAACACAGTTAGTCGTCGGTCGTAATGCTTCGGAGTGCCGGGAAAGCCGGATTTAAAGATGTATTACTTTAAAAATTTATCTAAATAATTAACAACTGCATCACCTAAGATACAAAATAGATTTACTGAATTATTCTTCTAGTCATCAGTCTAAATTTCATAATCGCTACGTCGTCATATGGATCATATTCATTTTATATATACTACGTAACTTGTTTTTATTTTGTAGCTGGGTGATAATATATGTAAGTATAATGATATTGGGTATATGCCCATCAGCAGAAGTAAGCAAGAGAAGATACCAGGTTTTTTTCTTGTTGACTCCCAATAAAGAACTGTCCATAAATTACATAATGCAGATAAGGATGGGTGGGATAAGGTAATCATTATGATGCATTATAAGGGGTGGGGGTGTTTACATGAATGTTATGTAATACTAGGGTAACAAAATGATTCATTTTTGTATTTGAAGTGTTTCATAGCAAATTTTACTGTTTACGTCACTTTTTTGTACATTATGTGTGTAATTAATGTTTGGTAATTGTATTATTCTTTAGTGTAATTAAGGGATTGAGGATATGCATTACTTTATTTGACGGTGGGCGTGTGCAACAACATTACAGAGGAGTTGGATGATAGTTGAAAAGTATAAAAATAGTGTTATGTAATTTCCGTATTAAGTTTCATTCCTAAGAAATGCTACTTTTATATAAATTGGTATAGAGCTCAGCATAAAATCATAAAATCTTATTGTGCATGAGCTTCATTATAATATAATTTTACAGTATTCAATAACAATAATTTACATACAAAAATTAAATTGAACTTTTAGTTATTTATTGTACGAATGCCGAGTTGATGGTCTAAAACTGAGTATTTAAAATAAACTAAAATTGGCATAACAATTTGAGAAGTAAATATTTTACATTATTTTATAGATTTTCTTTCTTTCTGCAGTGATTAAGTTTTGTTAAAAGTTTTAAATATGAACAACATTTTTATAGAATAAAAACACAATTCCAAAGAAGAAACTTCAATTCAAAGTTTAAATATAATTTACAGTGGGAACTGTTGCAAGCAGTAGGTTTGAAATTTGGTTATTAATTAATACATGTACTGCTACAGGTGAAGTTGATGCTGTTAGTATCATACAGTGGTAACAATACTTCATATGTTATGCGATATTACTAAAAATTAATGTGTAGTGGTAACATTATATTATATATTCATGTCTGTTCACATATTTGGTGTACAATCATAATAATATATACTGTAACACAAGAAAAACATAGTTTCCGAATATTTTCAGACTTCAAGCCCATTAAAGGGATTGAAATATCACAATCTCCTTTTCAGTTATTTTGAAGAATTGCTTATGCCTTACTAATGTGAATAACATTTTTTTGAAAAATGAATATAAAGCATTATTGATCATTAAAATCATTGTTTAATAGAAAGACGATTATATAATGGTGTTTAATAAAATTGCATTATCTCAAGAAAATTTATATCTATATGACACACTTTCATACTTATTCCAGTGATTTTATTTAGAAATATGAATGTTTTTGGTCTCCTTTAGTGGTCCTCTTCAGGTTACAAGCTGTTCCGTTTATCATCCATTTAGAGAAAAGTGCACTATAAAATTGTGGCTTTCCGTGCTCTTGTCAAGTAATCATACACACATTGTACCCACTCGTCATACATTACAAAGGAATTAAATCATATTAAACATATAGCTAATGAACATGGATATAAATCATCACAAATCAATACATTGATAAATTCCATAGGAGGAGAATCGAACAGAAATGCTTTAACAATCAATGAAACAACTATACATCTCACCCTCAATTATGAACCAGAAATGTATCATTTATATACTAAGATTGCTAAAGGGTTAAACAGTTAACTCACCTATGAAAGATCTCCACAATATAAAGATTACTTACTATCATTAGTAAGTAATCTTTATATTGTAAGTATCTTTATATCTTTCATAGCCTACAGGGCAGATATCATTACTTTAGTAGACTCAAGATTTAACAGACCTTTAATGTATGTCAGCTCTACATATTGTTCCCTGAATTCAAGAATTAAAGAACATAAATATGATATATCAAAACATAATTTTGTAACAGCATTGGCCCAATATGCATTTCAATCTAGGATGTCCATCTGTTGGAATGAAACCAAGCTAGTGAATGTAATTTTTGACAGAAAAATTACAAGTGAAGCCATAGAAATATACAAAGACAAATTAAACTAATATTGCATAAGCAATGAGTATATATCCTTAGCCCAGGCTTGGCAATACTGGATATTTATCCGTAATTCATAACCCCCAATTACATTTGTTCTTATTTTAATATTCACAGTATTATTCATAAAATTTATTCTTATTTTAATAAGAATAAATTTTATGAATTTTATAATATTAATAAATTTTATAATTTTATAATATTTTATAATTTTATAATATTATTTGCGGATTTTATTCTACGATTTGAATTTAATTCGTATCAGTTAATGTACAATGCTTTTTTAAAAGATCATATCGGTAGAATGTTTCTTTATCTTTTAAATGGTTGATAAATGGAACAGCTTGTAACCTGAAGAAGGCCACTAAAGATAACCAAAAACATTCATATTTCTAAATAAAGTTTCTGGAATAAGTACAGGGCTTAAAGTGACTCACTTTTTTAGCTTTTTCTGAGGCAAACTTGCGCTTTTTTTTTTAGCTTTTTTTCACTTCCCATGTGGAATTTATTTTTGTAAATGCATTCAGGAGCAAAATAGCGACTAGCACACCCCCATACTGCAATCCTCCAACATTCAAGCTGCAAGAAACATATAAATAAATGCAATGAAGTTTTTGGTCCTAAGCAGTTAAGACTGATGACTGCTCCTCAGATGTCTCAATGTCAAAGTATTAGTACTGAAAGTGTTGCTAGTGTGAGCAATGTTGTAGACTCAGGTGCCAGTTCAGAACACCAATTATTGCAACAACTGGTGCTTCAACTTTGTAGTGCAAAAGATGGTGCTTACATTGCAGAGCTTATATGGACTATGAAAATAATAGCCAGCAATTATTCATTTGCATCACGTCATGATATGAAGGAGACAATCAATGCCAAGTGTGCAGAAAATCTTCCAAAAGAATTCTCATTGTCGCATCAAAAAATGAGATACTTAATCACTGAAGCTTTGGCCCCATATTTCTTTGATCAAATGGTAGATGATGCACAATGGTCACATTATAGCATTTCTTATGATGAGATATGGAATGTAGAAGACAGAAAATACTGATTAGATACTGGTCAGAGGAACAACAGGAAATTGTCTGCAGGTATCTCCAGACCTCATTTATTGGGCATGCAGATGCCGAAACAATTAAATCAAAAATAATACTGGCAATTGAAGATGCATATCTACCTTTTGATAAATTACTCATGATTGGATGCAATGGACCAAACATAAACAAAAAAGTATTACATCTCATAAATGAGGAAATTCTGACACCTCGCAATAAATGCCTCATCAACATGGGGACTTGCAGCATTCATACAATCCACAATGCCTTTTTGAAAGGTGTGAAAGAGTTGGGTAGAGATGGTGGTGATCTCATCACAGTTTTTTTGATGGGTGGCCCTCTAGGTGGGATGAATACACAGAAATTCAAGAGAAACTTAATTTGCCATGCAACAAATTTATGAAGTATTCATCAACTNTACGTGTGTTATGTGTTAAGCACGTTATAAAAATCTTTTGTATCTTTATTATTTATATTATTTATAAGGCGTATGAAATTATTTCATCATATAAACAAAGAAAAGACAATTTTCTGATATATTTCAATAGTTTTTTTTTTAGATTTTCATCCTTGTCACCAACCTTTTCTAAGGCTCTCAATTCTTGAGTATAAAATCGGTTACATCAATGTAAAATGACATCGTTTCGAAGTATAAATTAGATGCAAAAATATTCAAATCACCTAGTTAAGAACTCGAGTCTTTGCTATCAATCACAAATATACCAGGAGGAAAAAAAAAGTGTACATATATATAGCCGTTACAACACGAACTTTCGAAGTAAAAATGCAATAAACTAGAAAAAGAACGAATAGATAAGCAAGATAAACCTAGTAAGAACCTTTTATTTGCATAATAAATCTAAAATTTAACGACTTTTGTAGTTAAACTTGCTCCAAAATGGCTTCCCAAAATGGCGATTTATCAATAATCAATCATGTTTACAACAATAAAGAATTGCTTATGTTGGCGCTCGGATATAGTTAATCGCTCTTAAAATAAATAACGGTAAGAGAAAGGGAATTTTAAAGTTTTCTTGATTAAAATGGTAGTATTTCTAGTTGAAGAGAGACTCATAATTAAATCTGACAGTTGCTGGAAAATGTACGACTTTCCTCCACTTTAACATGTAACGTTGTTTGGTGAAAGATGTCAGAAACTAAAATTCCAGTAGTAAATTCTAACGTTTAAAACTAATTACCTTACTTTTCCACTGTATAAAATGTTAAAAGTATAAACATTTTTAATTTTATAAAATAATTTTAATACAATTTTCTACTAAAAGTAATTTATTATTGTTATTTTTATTTATATACTTAGCAATTAATAATAAAAATATTTTCGTATAAAATAATTTTTGTGAATTTTACTTGTAGTGCCATCCCGTGATAATTTTATACATTAAAAATGTCCAAAATTTTTAAATTTTTTTGCTCGAGGCACAAGCGCGTAACTTGGCAAAGAATGTAAGAATGTGTTGAAGATATGAAAATTCCATTATATTTTAAATTTTTGTATTAAAAATTTAAGTGAAAAATCTCGAATTTTTCTGATCTAGTAACAGACACAAGCAGAAACTCCTTTAGTATTTAGTTTCCATTGCCAGGGGAATGAAGTGGGGTAGAATCTTGTTCTCTTAGCTAAACATTCTGTAGGTTGTTGCTGTTGTACAGATCTTCTCAATCCTTCACAATACTCTCTATCCACAAAAAGATGAAGAGAGATCGAATCGTACTGTTCTTCTAATAGATATCTTCTAGCTTGAAGATCAGAATGAATTTCCTCATTTTTTCTTAGACATAATTCAATATTTGTAACCCTTTCATCGGAAGCTTTCAATTCTTCTTCGATTCTAATATTAAGAATTCAGATAAAGATTCATCTTAACTTAAAAATCCTTTACGCTGAGTTATAGTACATACCTCTCGCTACATCGATCCTGTATCTGTTCCCTAGGAGGTTTGAGAAATTCTCTTTGCTGTCTCCAAATTGCCAACTGAAGAGCGTGCTGTTCTTGATAGCCACTACGACGTAAACTAAGTGTTCTTTGATCCGAAAGTTGTATGTGGTATAAAACCTATAATAGAAAGAAAATATCACACAATTCTAGTTTATATATAATTTATTACGTCTACATTCCTTACTGCTGTAATTTCAGCTCGAATTCTATCTAAACGATCATTATTCTTTTCTATTTCTGATCCTAAAGCATTGTTTGTAGCTTTCCAAGCCTCGTGTAGTTTCATTTTACATTCTTGTAACACTTGTTCGGCACCTCTGCAACTGTTGCAGCACGCTTTTCTTATATCCATAGCCGTTTTTATTAAATTATTAACATTGTCAATCCATACATCGTAATTTCTAAAACAGGAATTATGAATTTTAATAGTAAATACAATTATCAAATACTTGTCAGTTATATATTTTACAATTTTTGAAGTTTTGGGGGTTCAGTTGTAACGTTAGGAGGTTCCCTGTAAAGGAGTAATCTGTCATTATGCTGGCAACTTTGGTTGATCGAAGCGGCTATAGTTTTGTATTGAACGTCTTTTTGAAGGTAAGGACGAATCAAACGCAGTTTTCTACGACAAATTAAGTAAATAAGTTAGATATAAAACTGTATAACCAAGATATATCAAACAACAATAACAACGACAACTTATATTTGAAATTAATTTAAATTTACTTAAGGCATTTTTCTAATTCTTCGACTTTTGCTTTCAAATCATTTATTATTTCTTCTATAACATCTTTTTCCTGTTAAATAATTTACTTAAATTGAAAAGTCTTGTAATATTAGAACCCAAAAAAGAAAAACCTTATGTAATTTTTAAAAACTAAAAAAAAAATACTGCCAACAATGGCGTGACGATCGCTAAGATTTAAAAAAACGGTCGAGTATTTAAATATTGACGACCGTCACACCATTAACGACGAGTGTCGTAACTTCTCAATATGTCACGAATCAAAATATTTAATTATTAAAATTTTTCTTATTAAAACTTTGGATGTGAATTACTTGTCATTTAAATTAAGACGTAATTAAACTTGTAAATTTGCTTCGATATCTTAAAAAAATATATTAAAGAAAAATATCTCTTACATTCTCCAATGCTTTATTAACAGAATCTGTTGTAATATTCAAAATACTTATTCTTAACTCTAAACACTTTTCGGTGATGACAAGATGGCGTTCGACATTCGAAATTATTTTTAACAATTCCCGAATAATAAAATTGCATTGTAAATCCGTATCGTCTATTCTATAAATTAAATAATATAAGGCATTAATGATCATTATACACCGGATCATATTAATTTTTAAATTTAAGAACCTGTCAATCTCATATCTTTCTGTTCTTTGCCAAAAACTATAATCTTTATCGGACATATTATAAGTTTGTCGGGTCCATAATTCTCCTTTTTCTCTATCTTCCTTGCAGTTTTCGATTACATCTGCTGCATCGTGAAGGCAATGAGCGGCTCTATACAGCAAACTATTTGTGGTTCCTGTAATTATTTTCCCAAAATATATAGAGTAAAACAAATATTCTTAGTAAAATATGAAATTTATGTTTACCCCTTTGTGATCCTATGAAAGGCTGTTTGTAAGCGTGAACGGTGCGTGCTAATTTTTCGAGTGGTACTTGTTGATCGTTATCGAATTTGCACAGACGATCTTGGACTCCTAAAGAAGTCCATTCCATAAATTGTTCTTTACTTGCTTCGTTAATTTTTAACCAAGCCATGTCGTGAATATGCAATTCGAAACCGTTCTTAATTTTAAATTATTATTTAACAGAACAAAAACGATTTATACGTTATTATTTAAATTTGTATTGTTAATAATTTTTTAAAAATTTTTTAAATTAATTTAAAACTATTTTTAAACGATTAATAACGAGGGGGAAAAAATAAATATGAAATATTTATTTTCCTAATATCATTTTCTGACGCCAGATGGAGGGAGCTGTTTAAATCAGCAAATGAAACGGATGACGTCACGGCGTTAGTAACAAATCTAAAAAAAGATATGTAAATAACAAATAGATAATCGTTTCGGCCAGTCCAATGGCCCGGTGTGGTCACGTGACTCTCGCCGACGTCACAAAAGAATTAATGTACGGTTACAATCAAAATAAAGTAATATCGTGCCATCCTCCTGCACTAATTCCGAAAATCCCGATAGCTAAAAATTATTACGAGTAATTTAAAGGGCGATATTTTTTCACTATAATGTTTGTCGGCCTCGGTAATTAAATCAAAATATTTCACTCCACTCGAGGGAGGAGAGGATAATAAAGTATATCGTTGCCATAGCAACGTGGAAAATCCATTTTGGTGCGGAATGAATCATCAACTCCGCATTTAAACGAATTTATTTATAAATCGGAATCTCGTTAAATAAATAAATTTATATATTTTTTAAAGCATATTAATAAAAATTCCGTTTTTAATTTGCGTTTACGGGTTTAAAAAATAAAACCATTACAGCTGTCTTTATGGTCAAACGGTCTCTAGGAGATTTACACAGTCGCTACCCGCCAAGGTCCTTGTACACGAATCGCCCAATGAGAGCGCGCCTTTGATGTCACGTGATGAGCCGGACCCAATCGCCGTTCGTAATTTCAAACACTCGTCCTCTCTTTGTCCTAGGGGTCAGAAGCGTACAAACAACGTATTTTGATCAAAAATTTAAAAATAATCGTTGGAAATTTTAAATGTTAGTAGCTTAAAAAGGCGAGAAATTCATGTAAGTAGATTAATATATATATTTGATAAGGTGTAACGTCCGATGGAGGTAGACGCTTGTCAAGTACGTTGACAGGAGTACGTTTGGCGTTGCCGTCGTCGACATCGAAAGTGTTTTTCTGCTCGTTTGCGAGTAACGTGCGTCGAAATGACTGTCACTCGGTTTACGTTAACATCAACGTCATCATCGTCGTCATCATCATTCGTGACATACTTCCTGTAATAGAGCAGCATCCCCGAACACGTGGATCTTCACGATGGATTTATACGAAGACACCTTCAAGTTGCAGGACATGATCGATTCCGACATACGCACCGAGCTGGATTTTCCGTCGGATATAGCAGATATATCGGACCTGCCCATACTGACTGCCCTGACGCCGGCTGAGCCCCTGGATAACTGTTCGGAGGGCGAAAACTGGTCGCAGAACTCCCACCTGTACGGCATCGACGTGGACGCGGGAGGCGGCATCCTGGTCAATCCCCAGACCGGGGTGCCCATAGGTTTGATCCAGCCCCAGAGCACCTCGGCGCCGACGTCCGCGGTCACCCTGTCCGTGGTGTCCGCGCAGCCCATCTCGTCCTCGCCGACCTTGGTCATGGCCCAGCCCGCCACGGTGCAGATAACGCACATAGTGACGCCGCCGAACGTGTCCGAGGGATTCGTCCGGCGGGTCGACCGGCAGCGGCTCAACATAACCGTGCCCGTGCCCGCTCCCTCCTCCGGTGCCGACGACGCCGATCCCTGCGTCACCGGTCTGCCTCGGGTCGTCATTCGTAATCAGAAGACCGACGGTAACGTTGCTAGTCTCAAGGCCAAGCAGAAGGGAAAGGGGTCCAACAACAATAACAAGGACGGTTTGGGAAGGAACGACGGCCAGATGTTTCCAGACAAGTTCTATCCCAAGCCCGCCTATTCTTACAGTTGCCTCATAGCCATGGCCCTCAAGAACAGTCAGACGGGAAGTCTGCCCGTCAACGAGATATATAACTTTATGATGTAAGTATATTTTTCATGGTTTATGTTGCATGTTTTCTCGTATATATTACATCTATTCAATGATACGTTTATTGGGAATTGCATAATTTCTTAACGATAAAATTGAATTATTTACAATTTTATGTTACATGGACTATATACAGTCAAAATTAATTTTTAAATGGTTAAATTAACTTACTGAGTGACCAAAAATATAAATTATTTTGGTATTAATGGCAGAAATTGTACAAGTAAATTCAGTTGCTAGCAAAAATCCTAATGATCTGATAGACATAAGGAATTTGCAGATTGCTAAGCGTCCTTTTGACGATGTCGAACTGTATAATTTCTTTCTCGGCATCACATGTCATCCACTCTGCTTCATTTCATCAATGATGCTAACTGATCGTCAATAAAATGAGACCATAATCAAGGCACGAATTGACGGATGTTTGTGTCTTGAAAATATTAAGAATTTGATCTGTTTTCTTATATATTTTTGATTATAAATAATAATAATGTCATTCTTTAAGTAAGTATTTTATATCTGAAGTTGCAAAAATGTTTATTATTATTATTATCATCATTGTTGTTAACGTATACTGTTGACCTTGATATAACAGGAAGAAGTGATGGTTCGGTAACATCAGTTGTCCATTGAATCCGAAGATGTCAGATGTTGCAGTCAACTATAAAACAAACTGCATTTACGTGGGCTATGGTAAGACAGAGAAACACGCTTTAATGTGGTAAATGGGAGGAAAACAAACACCACATTCCCAATCAGGAATGTAAACAATAACTGTCAATGCACCGCTTATCACGTGTAACTGTCAATGGACATTATGCACACTACAGCATTCAGAGTTTGATGGTGAATGCTATTTCCACTCTTCACACCTCACAGATTAGATCTATTATTTCCAAAACTTGTTACGTAAGGGTCCACATCAAAGGTCAACAATATATTGAATATACAAACATTAATGAAGCTAAATTACGTTTGGATTAGAAAAACTATATAAAATTTATTATTATTTTATTTTATAGAGAGAATTTCCCATATTTTAAAACTGCTCCAACAGGATGGAAGGTAAGCTTTTAATTTTATTTTTTAATTATTTACATTAAACACATCATAAGATTACTGTTGTTATCAATTAGATTATGTACTAAAAGTACTTTTGAGGGATGTTTTCTGCATATTTACTTATTAACTTGTAAGACATATTTATATGAATAAAAATTGATAAAAGCATCATAAAACATGAATATATTCTTATATAAACATGTTAAGCATGTATAAGTATATTCTTATATGCTTAATAAGGGTTGTATTACATTACCCCTGCTTGATACTTACCGTACGGAACATTAAACATATACTCAGAAAGCTGCCTCGCAGGCTAATAAAACATATTTATATAGAGTAGATTGTCGTTCACTTATATCAATAATACTAAAAATATTATAAATTAAAATTAGTTATACAAAGCAACTTTGAAGACCGACACATCGTAATAATTGTGATAAATATCAAATAGAAGTAATTTGCTGCATTTTTGGATCTATGAATTGATAACGATATTAGTTTTCGTGAAATTATTTTTGATATTTGCATTAAAGAAAATAAAATGTGACTTTCTAACTGAAAAAAGCAATGTTACTTGGCTTTAAAAAATTTAAAAGTTAGAATACATCATTAATTTTAAGTTTTATTTCTTTTTATCATTATATTCTGAATCTGCAATTTCTAAATAAAAAAATAGGAAATCTTCTTGGAAAAATTATATAAGATTATTCCCTAATTATATTGCAAAATTCTACATTATTCAGAGAGAATATTTACTTAAAAAGAAATCTTTTCGTAAATAATATTTAAAAATTTAATATTTTTTATCTTCAAGATTTTTTTGTTTAAATAATTAAAAATACAATTTTATTTTTCTCCAATTTACTAAAAAGAAGTATCTGCATTAAGACATAATAATTTTAAATTAAGGAAAACAAACAACTCATTTATTTTGTAGACTTCTTGTTTATTTATTAGAAACACTCCTGAATATTTAAAGAATTTTTTTATTGACACTTCTTAGAGCAGTAGTTTTCAATCTTAAGTCGGTGTCCTAAAAGACTTCGGTATGCTTGCATGCGACACACCCGATACCCAATAATTTATTTAAACTTTAAATAAATTATTGGGTATCGGAAAATTTTGCAACACAGTTAGTCGTCGGTCGTAATGCTTCGGAGTGCCGGGAAAGCCGGATTTAAAGATGTATTACTTTAAAAATTTATCTAAATAATTAACAACTGCATCACCTAAGATACAAAATAGATTTACTGAATTATTCTTCTAGTCATCAGTCTAAATTTCATAATCGCTACGTCGTCATATGGATCATATTCATTTTATATATACTACGTAACTTGTTTTTATTTTGTAGCTGGGTGATAATATATGTAAGTATAATGATATTGGGTATATGCCCATCAGCAGGAGTAAGCAAGAGAAGATACCAGGTTTTTTTCTTGTTGACTCCCAATAAAGAACTGTCCATAAATTACATAATGCAGATAAGGATGGGTGGGATAAGGTAATCATTATGATGCATTATAAGGGGTGGGGGTGTTTACATGAATGTTATGTAATACTAGGGTAACAAAATGATTCATTTTTGTATTTGAAGTGTTTCATAGCAAATTTTACTGTTTACGTCACTTTTTTGTACATTATATGTGTAATTAATGTTTGGTAATTGTATTATTCTTTAGTGTAATTAAGGGATTGAGGATATGCATTACTTTATTTGACGGTGGGCGTGTGCAACAACATTACAGAGGAGTTGGATGATAGTTGAAAAGTATAAAAATAGTGTTATGTAATTTCCATATTAAGTTTCATTCCTAAGAAATGCTACTTTTATATAAATTGGTATAGAGCTCAGCATAAAATCATAAAATGTTATTGTGCATGAGCTTCATTATAATATAATTTTACAGTATTCAATAACAATAATTTACATACAAAAATTAAATTGAACTTTTAGTTATTTATTGTACGAATGCCGAGTTGATGGTCTAAAACTGAGTATTTAAAATAAACTAAAATTGGCATAACAATTTGAGAAGTAAATATTTTACATTATTTTATAGATTTTCTTTCTTTCTGCAGTGATTAAGTTTTGTTAAAAGTTTTAAATATGAACAACATTTTTATAGAATAAAAACACAATTCCAAAGAAGAAACTTCAATTCAAAGTTTAAATATAATTTACAGTGGGAACTGTTGCAAGCAGTAGGTTTGAAATTTGGTTATTAATTAATACATGTACTGCTACAGGTGAAGTTGATGCTGTTAGTATCATACAGTGGTAACAATACTTCATATGTTATGCGATATTACTAAAAATTAATGTGTAGTGGTAACATTATATTATATATTCATGTCTGTTCACATATTTGGTGTACAATCATAATAATATATACTGTAACACAAGAAAAACATAGTTTCCGAATATTTTCAGACTTCAAGCCCATTAAAGGGATTGAAATATCACAATCTCCTTTTCAGTTATTTTGAAGAATTGCTTATGCCTTACTAATGTGAATAACATTTTTTTGAAAAATGAATATAAAGCATTATTGATCATTAAAATCATTGTTTAATAGAAAGACGATTATATAATGGTGTTTAATAAAATTGCATTATCTCAAGAAAATTTATATCTATATGACACACTTTCATACTTATTCCAGTGATTTTATTTAGAAATATGAATGTTTTTGGTCTCCTTTAGTGGTCCTCTTCAGGTTACAAGCTGTTCCGTTTATCATCCATATAGAAATGTATCATTTATATACTAAGATTGCTAAAGGGTTAAACAGTTAACTCACCTATGAAAGATCTCCACAATATAAAGATTACTTACTATCATTAGTAAGTAATCTTTATATTGTAAGTATCTTTATATCTTTCATAGCCTACAGGGCAGATATCATTACTTTAGTAGACTCAAGATTTAACAGACCTTTAATGTATGTCAGCTCTACATATTGTTCCCTGAATTCAAGAATTAAAGAACATAAATATGATATATCAAAACATAATTTTGTAACAGCATTGGCCCAATATGCATTTCAATCTAGGATGTCCATCTGTTGGAATGAAACCAAGCTAGTGAATGTAATTTTTGACAGAAAAATTACAAGTGAAGCCATAGAAATATACAAAGACAAATTAAACTAATATTGCATAAGCAATGAGTATATATCCTTAGCCCAGGCTTGGCAATACTGGATATTTATCCGTAATTCATAACCCCCAATTACATTTGTTCTTATTTTAATATTCACAGTATTATTCATAAAATTTATTCTTATTTTAATAAGAATAAATTTTATGAATTTTATAATATTAATAAATTTTATAATTTTATAATATTTTATAATTTTATAATATTATTTGCGGATTTTATTCTACGATTTGAATTTAATTCGTATCAGTTAATGTACAATGCTTTTTTAAAAGATCATATCGGTAGAATGTTTCTTTATCTTTTAAATGGTTGATAAATGGAACAGCTTGTAACCTGAAGAAGGCCACTAAAGATAACCAAAAACATTCATATTTCTAAATAAAGTTTCTGGAATAAGTACAGGGCTTAAAGTGACTCACTTTTTTAGCTTTTTCTGAGGCAAACTTGCACTTTTTTTTTAGCTTTTTTTCACTTCCCATGTGGAATTTATTTTTGTAAATGCATTCAGGAGCAAAATAGCGACTAGCACACCCCCATACTGCAATCCTCCAACATTCAAGCTGCAAGAAACATATAAATAAATGCAATGAAGTTTTTGGTCCTAAGCAGTTAAGACTGATGACTGCTCCTCAGATGTCTCAATGTCAAAGTATTAGTACTGAAAGTGTTGCTAGTGTGAGCAATGTTGTAGACTCAGGTGCCAGTTCAGAACACCAATTATTGCAACAACTGGTGCTTCAACTTTGTAGTGCAAAAGATGGTGCTTACATTGCAGAGCTTATATGGACTATGAAAATAATAGCCAGCAATTATTCATTTGCATCACGTCATGATATGAAGGAGACAATCAATGCCAAGTGTGCAGAAAATCTTCCAAAAGAATTCTCATTGTCGCATCAAAAAATGAGATACTTAATCACTGAAGCTTTGGCCCCATATTTCTTTGATCAAATGGTAGATGATGCACAATGGTCACATTATAGCATTTCTTATGATGAGATATGGAATGTAGAAGACAGAAAATACTGATTAGATACTGGTCAGAGGAACAACAGGAAATTGTCTGCAGGTATCTCCAGACCTCATTTATTGGGCATGCAGATGCCGAAACAATTAAATCAAAAATAATACTGGCAATTGAAGATGCATATCTACCTTTTGATAAATTACTCATGATTGGATGCAATGGACCAAACATAAACAAAAAAGTATTACATCTCATAAATGAGGAAATTCTGACACCTCGCAATAAATGCCTCATCAACATGGGGACTTGCAGCATTCATACAATCCACAATGCCTTTTTGAAAGGTGTGAAAGAGTTGGGTAGAGATGGTGGTGATCTCATCACAGTTTTTTTGATGGGTGGCCCTCTAGGTGGGATGAATACACAGAAATTCAAGAGAAACTTAATTTGCCATGCAACAAATTTATGAAGTATTCATCAACTGGGTTGTTCGGAAAGTAAGTTTGTTTTTTTCCGTGGAAAAAAACACAATATTTTTATAATAAATAAATATTTTATTGAATTATATATCAACCATTTTGGTCAAATACATGTTGTCATCGTTTCTGGTAGTAGCATGATTTCACATTCATAAAAGTTTTGACAATTGCTTACAAAAAACTGATCCAAGTGATTTTTGACATTGTCATTTCAAGTAAATATCTTACAGCTAAAAAAAAAATTGTATAGACGGGAACAAGTAATAATTTGAGCATACTTGATCTGGCCAATATGGTTGGTGCAATAGCACGTCCCATCTAAGTTATAACACGAAACTTGTGTGAAATTTGACATTATTGTGGTAAAACACTACACCTGTTTTGTTGA